GACGCTTCCTCTTGAGGAGTCAGTATCGTTCACTGTCTCTTTTCTCCGAAGTATAGTGACTTCCGGTTCCTCTTGACCCTTCTCTTGGATCACGGGCTTATGATCTGATAGTTTCTCGAGCAACCTCATTAAATCATCATCTATCTGTGCAGTTCCTGCTTCTACCTGGTTAAGATCATAGCCTTTTGCCTTGAGCGTCTCCTTCACGATCTTCGACTTGAGTATTATCTCTATTGGAATCATTTTGCTCTTCTTCAAGATGGTCTTCTCTGGAGGTTCTTTAGGTAATTCAGGATGATCTTCTATCGGTTTGCCTGATTTGTCCAGCCATCTCGTGAGTGGAAGACTGTCGTACGTTTCCTTGTCCATGAAGGAGAAGCCATCTTTGATTTCAGGTCTGTCTGCCTCTCTTTGCTCTTGTCTCTCATACAACTCCATCTTCTTACTCAAGCTGTCGGCATTCTGATGTTTATCTCGTGTTCTATGCTCAATTATCATGTTGTATCCATCCAGGCGAACTATCCACCTCCCAATGTAACTTTGGTCCATTGAGTACGTTTTCAGCCAGCTCAGTGCTCGATTGTCGACTCGCAACTTGAATGGCTCACTGCCCAGGTATACCCTGTATTTCTCGACAAAGGTAACCACCGCGAACATCTCTGCTTTTGGTGCTCCGTACTTCATTTCCGTGTCACTCAAGACTTTGCTCCCGTACGCTATTGGTCTCAAGACTGTCTTCCCATTCCATTCTTGTTCTTGGTGGAGAATCCCAGAAATCGCGACTACCGACGCATCCGTGTCCAGCACGTACATCCCTTTCTCAGTCGGCATACCCAGTACTGGTGCCTCACATAGCTCTTTCTTTATTCTCTGGAATGACTCTTCTGCTGCGTTGTTCCACGTGAACTTCTTGCCCTTGTGTCTCATTAATTGTTGCATCGGGTATACCTTGTCTGCATAGCCTTTGATGAACTCTCTATAATAGTTAGCGAAACCCAGGAAGCTCATCAACTGGTGCTCTGTCTTCGGTGATTTCCAGGTCAGGACTGCTTCCACGGCGTCCGTATCAGGTCTGATGCCGTGCTTGTCTACCATCCTGCCCAAGTATTTTATTGAGTCCTTGAGTAGCACGCACTTTGATGGTTTACACTTTAGCCCCGACCTCTTCATGCATGCAAACACTTCGTCAAGTCTCTCAATGTGGTCTTCCAGCGTTGGCGTCGCTATTACCACGTCATCCACGTAGCACATTACCAGGTTGCCATACTTCTTCGTCACGCCTATCAGCGCGTGTGCCATCAACCGCTAAAACGTGGCTGTGGCATTGCAAAGTCCAAACGGCATCCGTTTCCATTGAAACAGACCCAATTCGCAGGCAAACCCTGTCTTGTCCCTGTCCTGCTTTCTTAGTGGTACTTGCCAAAAGGCCTAGCCTAAATCAAGAGTCGTAAAAAATTTTGCATCACCTAACTTCGAGAGGCTCTCATCAATCCTAGGTATGGGATAGGCATCCTTCACCGTGACGGAGTTCAGGTATCGAAAATCACAACAAAACCTCAACTGGTCGCCTTTCTTTTTGGCCATCACTACTCCACACGCCCACGGTGACTTGGATGGTTCTATCATGTCATACTCTAGTAACGTCTCGATTTCTTTTCTACACGCGTCCGATTTGTGTGGGGTCATGCGCCTCGCCCCTTCCCTGTGTGGTACCGCGTTTTCCTCAAGTTCTTTTTCATGCTCAACGAAATTACAACACCCGATATCCGCCTTATGCCTCGAAAAAACTTCCTCGTTCCGCTCTAGTACGTCCTTGATGGCTTCGAGCTGTTCATCTTTCAGTTTGCCCCTCAAATGTTCAATCTCCGGCAGAACCGGTTTTTCATTTTGCATTTCATCTAGTGTGGGTGGCTCTGGAAAGTTCGAACAGCTCGACAGCCCATCATCCGTTTCTGACTTAAGTGATTTAATAAGACCTGAAGAATCTTTTATTTTCTGCAATCGTCTCAAGATACAAATTTTGTCCCTATGATTGGGACAATCAACAACTTCATTTTATTTTGAGTTCTCGATCGTTTCATATCGAGTTTTAACCGGTAAAGCATATCCCAGTTTCCTCCCTCTCTGTATCGTGATCGGTATATCAAGGGTATTCAACAAGACACTGACGCAGAGGCCGCTCTTCGTTATCGAGAAGGATCTTCCTAAAACAGCAGCACTTTGACTATTAGGATTCGGAACTACACACACTTGCTTGTTGTCGCTTAGTTCATTGTAATTTTTCATCCTCAAGCCTACGATTGCCGCTTCATTCGCTTTTAGCCTAACCCTCCTACTCAAGAATACCGGTGCTTTGTTTTCATTTGCCATTATTAAATTTACCGGTTTGATTGCGTACCTCCTATCCGGGTTCCGTATCCTGAACATTGCGTTATTTAGATCAATCGTTACGTCGAAATTCCTGATGAAGTCTCTGCCCAAAATGAATTGGTCAGATTCATCTAGGTTTTCTACCACGATAAAGCTCATCCACAGGTTACGTTCCCCCAAGTTGAGGGCTATTATCGGCGTCCTGCCCAGCACCCGAAGGGCCCCTTTGTTTGCTGCTGACAGCCGTATTCTCGAGTCTATCAAATCACCTTTGTCAAAGCCCATCCGCTCCCAAGTTTCGATTGGTATGACGCTCAAGACTGCTCCCGTATCAAGTAACCCACGTAGTTGAGTCTTTTTGCCACTTATGTCTAGCACATGCACAGTCACATCTGCCTCTGTCCCGATGTGCATCGCATCTTCTTCAAGCATAGCGCAGTGTCCAATCGATCTCACTTTCAACTCTTCTTTCCCTACGTAGATTTGCCCAATTAGGTCTTCGTCACATGTTATCATTGTCTTGGTATAGATGTTTATTCCATCTATATTTAGCATCACCTCGTGTGTACCATAAGCTTCAGTATACCTGTTGTCAACACGTACCGACTTGCTGCCCCCTCTCGTGAGTAGTGCTCTCAGCGCTCTAGAAGTCGTTTGTGGGCTTATACAACTCAAGTAATCTGCGTACACGTCAATGTGCATTATTGTCTGGTCGCTCGGTTCGCTCAAGTTTCTGGTTACCTCGTGGCCGCCCACTGTGATTATCGACATTATTCTAGCCCCGATTTTCGATATGCCGAATGGCTTTCCCGTCACCATTTTTACAGTGTTACAATTCCCGGTTTTTGTTGAGCCTGGTACAGCCTCTGGTGTTGGGTTTGATCCGGTTAATGCTTCGTTGAAATTCTGTCTTTCGATCTCCAGCTTTAGTCGTTGCTCTATTTCTTTCGCAGCCAGATCCTGTTTCACTTTGGCAATTGCTTCCGTCGCCGCTTTCTCATAGTTTATCTCTAGAGAGTTCCCGGCCGCGGACTCTATCGCACCATTAACATGTGTTACAGCTTTCACTGTTATCGTCGGCAATTCCGTGCTTGGTGCTCCTAAGTTCCTAGATTCAAACTCGTTTTGTCTATTCCGCTGATTCTGCACTGCCGCTAATGCCAACTTATGTTTGGGTGACTCTGGTTCTTGACCGCTTCCCAGAACAAGGGACAATCCATTCTGAAGTGCCCCTCCTGGTTACAGAAGAAGCATCTTGCGCCTATCTTGATGATTAAGCCACTATAGTACTCGTGTTCCTCCATCTGGCTCATGTCCTCCTCATCCGGTGCGTATCCTAGACTCTTCATGCCTTGTTTGTATGTTGTGCAGTCAGCCACGTGGTGATCCGCCGACCCGCAGTTCGCGCATGATCTGCGCTTGTCCATGTCATCTCTAGGCTTGTACCATGACGACCTCTGGGGTTGACTTCCCCCTTGCGTGTTCCTGTTTTCTGAATATGAGCATTTCTTGGGTTTCATCAGCATGTATTCCCTTGATTTCTGTCTCATTTCTTATGGGGTCGGTGCGCTGTCTTTCGACAATGTGTAGTATGTTGCTAACATTGTTCTTAAGTCATCACTTTTTACCCCATCAATGAACTTCGAGGCAATGCTAAAGTTTCTTCTGTTTGTCGACTCCTCCGGGTCACTCCTTCTTCTCAAGCTCTCGAGGTCATCTAGGAACCGATCAATTGACTCGTCGTCCCTCTGCCTTCTCTTTTCAAATCGCATCATCGCTTGGTGACCCTTCATGCCTGATCCGAATCGATTCAGCAATATTTCGAAGATTTTGTCCGCGGTATCGCGTTCTTCTTCTTTCTTTGCAACCACGCATTCAATGCCGTGCCTTCCAGGTTGCTGAGTATGGCTGTGCATGCTTGCTTTTCATCATTTAAGTTATCTTGCTCTAGATGTAATCTCATCACTTCCACCCACGTGTCAATGCGTCCATCGGAGTCGTCTTTGAATTCTTTTGGCTTCTTGAAAGTTTTTCTTGATTTTCCGTCTCTCCTATCGCTCGAGTCAGTGTTCCTCGTGGCGAAGGCCTCTAGAGTCCTGTTCATCGTCTCCCAAGTGCTTGCCCACGTCATGGCATCCGGACCTGCGTTGCTGCTAGCTGTTGAGTCCCCCGGACCACTCGTTGTGTTTGATGTCCCATTTTTCATGATTGTTTTAGCAAACGTTGGTGCTATGCTTACCGCATCCCGGTTTAAAGGCAACGGTGTCGATTGCCGTTTGTTTCTTTGTGGTTCTACAAAGTCAACTCTGGTGCCTTGCGTGCGATCCGCTGCCGGTCTTTCTTGTGAGGTAGAATTTCTCAAGATTGCATCCAACTTCGCCTGTATTGCACACGAACTTTCGGCCTGATTCCTGTTCATTGTGTCCATTCTCTTTTCCAGGCTACCTAATTGGCTGCTGACATCATCATATCGGTTTTTCAACTGTTGCATATCTCTTTTGATGTTCTTATCTCGTTCTTCATTGGTGGCATCTACCTTGTCCGACATCTGCTGGAGTCTCTCGTCTGTCGCCTTAGCCAGGTTAAAATAACTATCCAGATACTCGTGTTTGTTGTATTTCAACTCTTTCCTTATTAAATCTCTATCTTCCTCACTGTACTTTAGTTGTTTGTCGATCTGATTTAGTTTTGTCATCAGGTCGCAAAGCTCAAGAGTAGCTGTTTCATGATCAGCCGTTGTCTTGTTTTCGGCTGTCGCTTCCGTTTTGGCTTGTTCTTCCTTTAGGTCAGCTTCTGTCGTCTTCGCGCTCACTGTCCCAAATGTTCGTGCTCTTTCAGTTTTTGATTCTTCGGCCGTGTTGTCCTTCGATTTCATTCCGACCATCATCGCCAACTTTTCTGTAAAAGATGTTTTCTTTACTTGAGAGTCGTCTTTCACCGTTTCTCGGGTATTGCCTGTTGTGTCTTCCAACGCGTCTATCGGCGAAAACTCCACGGTTTTTGGATTTTGATCTTCCATATGGGGCATCGGTGTGGATTCCGTAGTCTTCTTCTCCACTTCATCTACGCTCTGGTCTGGTGTCTCTAGATCGATTTCAATTGTGGGCTCCACCTGTTTGTCTTTAGCACCTTCTCGCGTCTTGTTCTCGGTACTACTCCTCGTGCTGACCATGCTAACTGAAAAGTTATCTTTTGTTTTGCTTGGGCCCATTGATGTCGTTCCGCGCAGCGACGAGTTATATTTCGTGTTTGATCCACTTGACCTTTTTTCGAGCACCGGTACCCTACTCCGTCTCATTATTTCTATTTACAATTGCTCTTATTTACAATATTATTATATACACAATTCTATTCTACGAATAAAATCTTTTGTGGAAAAGAATTCTTAAAAGGAAATATACAACGTGATAAAAACCTTTCGTGAAACTTTCTTTATTTGTGGTCTCAACCGTACCGGGTTCCGACTAGTGTTGTTCTGTTTTAATTCTGTCTCAAAACACTTATTGTAATTTTACTTCAATTTTTATACCGTCCTAAGACTTCCAGTTACCGTCCCTACTCTTCTTTGTACCGTCCCAGGTTTTTTTCTACTGTCCCAAGACTGTTCGGTACTGTCCCAGTACCTTCCGTCAGTGTCCCAAGACCCTTGTCCTGAGAGTACTATCCCAGGACCACTGTCCCAAAACTGTCCCAAGAGTACTGCCCCAAGGTCAGTGTCCCAAGGCTAGTGTCCCAAGACCACTGTCCCAAGACTACTGTCCCAAGGCTAGTGTCCCAAGACTACTGTCCCAAGGCTAGTGTCTCAAGGCCAGTGTCCCAAGACCACTGTCCCAAGACTACTGTCCCAAGGCTAGTGTCCCAAGACTACTGTCCCAAGACTACTGTCCCAAGGCTAGTGTCCCAAGACTACTGTCCCAAGGCTAGTGTCCCAAGACTACTGTCCCAAGGCTAGTGTCCCAAGGCTAGTGTCCCAAGACCACTGTCCCAAGACCACTATCCCAAGACCACTGTCCCAAGACCTCTGTCCCAAGACCACTGTCCCAAGACCACTGTCCCAAGACCACTGTCCCAAGACGACTGTCCCAAGACCACTGTCCCAAGACCACTGTCCCAAGACCACTGTCCCAAGACCTCTGTCCCAAGACCACTGTCCCAAGACCACTGTCCCAAGACCACTGTCCCAAGGCTACTGTCCCAAGACCTCTGTCCCAAGACCACTGTCCCAAGACTACTGTCCCAAGGCTAGTGTCCCAAGACTACTGTCCCAAGACTACTGTCCCAAGGCTAGTGTCCCAAGACTACTGTCCCAAGGCTAGTGTCCAAAGGCTAGTGTCCCAAGACCACTGTCCCAAGACCACTATCCCAAGACCACTGTCCCAAGACCTCTGTCCCAAGACCACTGTCCCAAGACCACTGTCCCAAGACCACTGTCCCAAGACCACTGTCCCAAGACCACTGTCCCAAGACCACTGTCCCAAGACCACTGTCCCAAGACCACTGTCCCAAGACCACTGTCCCAAGACCACTGTCCCAAGACCTCTGTCCCAAGACCACTGTCCCAAGACCACTGTCCCAAGACCACTGTCCCAAGGCTACTGTCCCAAGACCTCTGTCCCAAGACCACTGTCCCAAGACCACTGTCCCAAGGCTAGTGTCCCAAGACCACTGTCCCAAGACTGCTCTGGTCCAGGACTGCACTGTCCCAAGACTGTTGAAAAGTGTCTGAGCGGTGGGACCTCTTTCTTCTTCGTTATGGGGACTTCTTGATTCACTGTACCTTGTACCACCACTCAAGCTCTCTTAAAAATTTTCCCAAAAACCCTCTCTTAGTGGCCAAATGCTGACCCCCCTTTTTTAGTTACCTCTTTTTCAATGTTCCAAGCAACTTGAAACCAAAACCCTTTCTCAGGTATCTTGTGATCACCTGTTCGTATAAAAGCCAAACACAAATCCTTACCAAAATGCAACAAAATCTAAGCAAGAAAAAGTAATAAAAACAGATAGACGAACCCACCTAAAATTCAAAGGTGACAAATGTCTACCTTCTATCGAAAAAATGTCTGATACCTAATTGCCACGCGTTCTCTTCCCCCCTGCTAGCGATCTTATGGGGTATCACAAAAACTGTCTATGTCCGTTCCCCCCTACCGATCCGACCAGGGTACCTACCTTAACCTGATTCTAATTTTGGATATCCGTTTCCTATGACCAACGCGTGTAAAAATCTAATGTAACTAAGTCGACGACGCCGAGCAATTAGCTACTCTAATGTGTCCCCCCTTTTTACAAATTATAACAGCCAACCTCTAACTTAACCAGCCCCCTTCTAACCTCCCCCCTTTTTAGCCCCCTTTCTTAAACCTAAAAATTACCTTAAGCGCCGGGTGCTAAACCTCTCAAGAGAAAACCGTAGACCTGTCTCCAGGCCTGCTTAAGTAAAAACGTTCCTCAAAACCAGGGGATTTCGCTTATCCAATTTTACACTTATCTCCTATAATATAATGTGGATTTTAACGATACCCGTTCTGCCCAACTTGAGAACTCGAGAACTGCAAAATCCTTCTTTGCTACTTTCCCACTCGACTGGTCACCTTTTCCAGTCCAGTCTCCTATTGGTTCAGCTCAAGTGCTCCTGAACCACTTTCCCACTCGGCTGGTCATCTCTTCCAGTCAAGTCTCCTATTGGTTCAGCTCAAGTGCTCCTGAACCACTTTCCCACTCGGCTGGTCACCTCTTCCAGTCAAGTTTCCTATTGGTTCAGCTCAAGTGCTCCTGAACCACTTTCCCACTCAGCTGGTCACCTCTTCCAGTCAAGTCTCCTTGTTGTCCAGCTAAGTTCAAAGCTATCTGAAAACCCTTGACAACGCCCCACACTCGGGCACTTTATTGAGTTACTGGGTTAAATTGCTAGGTTGATTGAAACGATCGAACTTGTAAAACAGTATGTGTATACTATTTAATTAATATAAAGGTTTGATCCAACTAATCTGGTGTCAAAGTCACTGTCTTTTTTCGTTTTATGGTTTTTGTTCCTTTTTCTATTCATTTTTTTTTGGTTTTTGTTTTGCTTTTTGTTTTTTTGCTCGTGTTTTTGTCCCCCTAGTTGCCCCCCTTTACTCGGTTAGCTAAGCCTCGTTCGGAGAGCGTACCAGGAAGTTTTCTCGAGTTTTCTTAAAAAGCTATCACGGTACAACCGGAAGGTTTGCACGTTCCTGTCGAACCGCACCGCCGGTACTCTAGAATGGGCATTTACCCCGAAGCTGTCTCAAGTGGGTTCGACTCCGTAGTCTTGATGTCGTAAACACCCAGGAGCGCCATAAAAACACTATGTAACATTCGTCTACTGTAGTCACACATGAGGCTTAAGAAAAATAGGCCCTATAACCATTGGCTCAAGAGTCAGGGACACTATCTCTTGTGTTTTTCTACCTCAAATCAGTCGGAGCCAATTCGGTTCGCTTGTGACATGAGACTACGACCCGTTACAGCTTAAAGGCCACTACCAAAATATCCCCCCACTCTAGAAATAAGAACGTCCCCATACTTAGGTCTCTAGATACCCAAAATACATGAACGCCGTTAAAAACCGGGTCGGAACAATCCGTTAAGTTACTTTTTATTAGACAGTGGAACTTTGATCCATTTCAGATGGATCAACCTAAAACTCGCCTTACCTCAACATAACAATCATAAAACACACTCTACAAATTTAAATTAAGTACTCACATCGTAGCACGCTCAAGAACTGGGAGTAATTAAGTCGGTCAGCAACTCGAGAATTAAATAATGTAACTAAATGAGTTTAATGTTTATCAGTTTCAATAACAAGGACAAGTTTTAACTCTAGAATATAGTTTCTCGTGAACCATTGGGACACTCAAGCTGTCCACCTTTCCACCGAAGGTTCACTCTAGTCCAGTTCGAATAACAATCCAATCGAGTAATGATAGTCCAGTTCTCGGGAGTACGCTTGTCTCTGTTTCAGATGGGACAGCTCTGCTCTTGTTCTATTGTGACAGAAATTGCGAATAGCAATTTCCCACTGTTTTATCTAGCAACTTTCCCGCGTTTGTTATTCGATCGTTCTGAATTCTCTTTTTCGGTTTTCAGTTATCGCGAGAAAATCGTGGATGACAGGCTCCATTCGAATTTTTGAAAAATTAAATTTCACCCCAAAATTAAGTGCTCTTGCTTTTCTCAAGGTCAAACTTCCAAATATGACCGACTGGCACATATGTTCCCAAAAGCTGTAGAAGCTTGCCACCCATTACCAAGATTACGTAGCTTTTGCAACAAAATTGGATGCGACAGTTTGTCAAAGGCCTTGCAAAATCCAGTTTGATTCAATGTTATTGGCAATTATTTTCTGTTGACGATAGCTTATGAAAGAGTCTATCATTTAAATCGCATTTTCGAAGAAACCTAACCCTGCTATAAAAATGAGAATATTAAAGAAAACTTAATCAGAAGGTCAAAAGTATCATAGTAACGGAGGTTACAGTCAGGAGTTCCTTCATCACATTATCCAGTTAAAGTCCTCGGAGTTTCCTAGACAAGTTCAGTTCAGTTCTTTTTCTGATCTTATAGGCGTTTTGTCGCCTCTATCGATCAGCTCATGATGTACTCCTTTTCGATTAATTAGTCTCAAATTTATTAATTCCGCTTTTCTTCCAATGTTTGTCCAGGTTGTTCTTGAAAGCGTTCAAGGTATTCGAGTCAATTACTTCTCTTGGCAACATGTTCCAATCTGTAGCTGATCTAATGGTAAAAAAAGTTTTTCTGCAATTCGAAGTTGGCCTTCTTCGTAATCACTTTTTTGTCATTTGTCCTTGTGTCACGATTATTCAATTCGAACATGTCTTTCGTAGCTTTTGGGTCATAACGGTTGTAACCTATTTTGAACATTTCGATCATTGTTCCTCGCCAAGGAACAATGATCCTAGACAAGGAAATGATAATGATAAAAAGGATATGATTAGTGTTGATGTGTTTTAAATTGAACTCGATACGGGTTACGTTTCTTCAATAAGAACACGCAACTCGACACGAGAAAACATTTTTTAATATATATTTTGTTACAAATAAAAAATTTCGCCGAAAGTTGTTTTGTCATTTATTCTACCGAGAACGCAAGCGGCATTCGCAATCTGTATTGCCAGGGAGATTCTCTGCTTAAGAAAACTACCTGCCCTGGGTTCTTCGGTACACGTGCACAAGTTCTTACGAAGCTTATTCAGAAAAATCTCAGTGCTAGGGCCAGCGGCACTCTGAATTTCAAAAGCTATTGGTTGAAAAATATATCCATCATTAATTACATCTCTATATTTGTCAGATTTTCGATCTTCGGCCGCGGTCGTCCCAGGGCTACAAATATTAAAGTGTTCTTTCTTCTGTTTTTAATTGACCGTAATTGGTAGTTGGCAGATTGATTTTAAAGTGTTCTCCAGAAGTTAAAGTGTTCTTTCTTCTTTTTTTAATTGACCGTAATTGGTAGTTGGCAGATTGATTTTAAAAGTTGTTATTGAGTTTTATATTTGTTTAAGTGTGATATGATTGAAAGTAATTGACTTTTTGCCGATTACGATGATTACCTGTCATTGCGAACATGTCCCCAATGGGCCCAGCAAGACAACAATCTGTTCGGCCGAAAAGACCTGCCAAACTGACTCTTATTGTGTTTATATGACTACCTTTTCATTGCATCCTCATTTCTTTTGCAGCCTTCACAGAGATATTGGCTGTGACAATGAGATGAACAAACCCCTTCATACGAAGACCTTAAAGCACGGTGGAGTTATCCAGCAATGCTGCAATACGTCAGATTTATGCAACAAAAATCTTCTTCCTTACCCAAGTTACAGCGCTTCTTTAAGTGAGTCTGTCTTAGTGCCAAAGTTTTTATAAATACAGAAAAAAATTGTTCTGATAAAGTTAATAATTTTACTTTTTTTTTTCGTGAAGTCAGTGAAGCAGATGCCTCGTCAAATATCCCCGTGTTTGCAATGGTTTCTGGGATGCTGGGATTGTTAGCTCTTGTATGCTGTTTTGTGCTTATCTTTTCAAAGAGAAAACGAATTAATATTCTCAAATCTTTCTTGGGTCCTCCGCTCACAGAAGGACACCCGGAAGCAGATATATCAGTATTCGCGACGCTTGTGTCTTCGGATACAAAACGAGTGAAAGAGAAAAATCAAGTGCGCGAACAGTCGACGTCAGGTAGTGTAGGAGAGAGTCACGACCCGTTGCTGTCCTCGTCAAGGCTACCGGAAACGTCTAATTCAAAAATTCCAGGTTAGTTACAGTTAAGTATAAAGATCAATCCTTGAAAGCCGAACGCCTCACGTGCAAGTGTGCTTTTTTGCCTGACAATCAAATTTTGATGAAAAAGGCTTGGTTATCTTGTGGAAGGTAAGATACTGGTTTTAAAGTACTGAATTTGGGTCTTCTGAAGTTAAGTCCTCGCTCAACTGTGATTTTTCGCCGTTTGTTTTGATGTCTCCAAATTTTTAGTTGCTAAAAAATAAGTAAATTACGCTATCTTATTGTTCCAACCATTGAAAATGAGGAGGAACTTTGCATTCGGGTGTTGTAGTTTTTTCTTTTTGTTTTCCACACAAAATCAGGTTTTCCACGCAAAATAATCATCGGACTGGGTTGAGTGATTTATCATATTGGAGCCCTTACTGTCGTGATTTGCACCACATTGAAAAGTTTTTCCAGTGTGATTTTTGATTTTTCGTCTTATTTCGAGCGAGTAAAGCGAGCGAGCAGTTTTATTCTAATTTAAAAGCTTGCAATAGAATAATTTAAAACGTGAAAAATTAGTTTTACTTGGGTAACGTTAGTTTACCTAGAGTATTTTTGCGCCTTTTTGGAATCAAATTTTTCAATAATTAAAAAAACTTCAAAAAATTGCAGCTTGGCTGTCGAATATACCTAATCCCCTTTTTTTATTTAGCTCTTTTTACCACACCACACCGAAAAAAAACGACAATAATTTGAAAAAACTTGGTTGTATTTTTTGAGACCATGGTCGGAACATTCTGTGCTACTTGCACAGTAACCGGCTATCGTTGTAACGAATGTGCAAATGGTGCAAAAATGCGATTGAATTTTTGTTTCAAAAATGGATATTTTTTTTCAGCTAAAAAATTTAGTATTGGCTCAGTTTTCTCTCATTGCCTTAATTTTATCATAAAAAGGCCAATAATTTACCAATTTTTCTCAAGAGCTTCATTGTGATTTAGGTTTTCGGGTTTTGACGTTTGACTTTTTTTGGTTTCTTGAGTTTTTTGACACTTTAGAATTTTCTGTTTGCTATGTTTTGTCTTATCATTCTCTTCTTGGAAAAAAACAACAAACATGAAGAAGGTTTCGAATTTTTCTTTTTTGCATAAATTATTCCTCTGTCTGACTTCTATTTGTCAAATGAGCTTTGATTAATCATACGCGCATCGGAGGATGGCTCAGTTCTGTCTACTCAAGTTCTTAAAATTCAATGAAAAATTTGAAATGTGTTGCAGTTTTTTACAGTCACTTTACACCTGAACGCTGGTGTATTGTATATCAAATTCGCATGAAGGTTGCGGGTTAGCATCTTAGAAAACGATATTTACTCTTGCGATTTGCAAGGTTTATGAAATTGGGTACTTGACTTTATTCTCAGGACTCATCTCTGCTGGAACTTTACTGCAACAGATATATTTTGAGCATGTTTGCTTTTGAAATACTCGTCCTATTTACAAACTTTTGTGAGCGTTAGTGTTAAACTACGACTATTCTTTTTTTCCTAAGCTAAGTTGCAAATATTGGTGCCACTTTTGGGAAAATTTTACGGCTTTTTAATAGCATGTGCTTTGACATTCGATTAGTAATAAGCTATCGCAGTTGATGCATTTTTAAAAGCTGTTTGCTTCCAGCAACATAACAATAAGAAACACTCGATTTCAACTCTAATATATTTTAGAACTCTAATGTATCTCGCAACAATTTATGCGCAATTTAATAACTCTAATATATCTCGCAATAATTTATAGGTAATGATGCTTTTGTTTCAAGTTTATTACTTGCAAAATTAGTGTGGTTGCCTTCAGTTTGTTATATTTTTCAGTTTGTTAAGTACTATTACTTGCAAAATTGTGTCTATTTGTATTTGATGCAACTTTTGCTGCATCTCATTGGCAATTTGTTAGCATATGTAGCTGCTTTGTTCGTGAATAGTGTTTAGTGTTTGTCGTTGGTTAAGCGTGAGTGGCTAAGTGGTTAGTGCGTGAGACTCCAAGTCTCGGGGTCGCAGGTTCTAAGCCCATACATAGCAAAGACTATGTGTCAAAGTTTGCTTTATTTTGATGGTAAATTTACCAAATCGATTTGTTACAATTTCATTTTTTTTTAAATTGTTTCATATCATTTTTGAACGCATTATGTTTCGGTTCATCCAAATTTTTTTAAAACAAGCGATTTGGGCGGGGTTTACAGCTTTAATTAATTCTTTCCAATTTATATTCTGCAATTTTATTCTTAGGCGCGGATTTATTTTTTTCGAGGCTTACTGTTTGCTCTCAGGTAGACTTTTCAACATTTCAATTAATTATCTATCTACTACATATTTAAATGAGGGATTTACTATCTCGCCATGTTTAAGCTTTTTCAACGTATTGTTTTTGCTTGTTTAACGGAAGAATTTTTTCATGTTCAAGCTATATCGTACATTGCAATGGCTTAGATTATTTTTCGATTTTCAAGTTTGATTTCAATGATCATTTCACCAAGTTTGAAATTAGTTAAACGATAGAGGGATGCTGTCAGGGTTCCCCGCGTTATTTTGTTAAGAAAAGTTTCCAAATTTATCACGCTTAAATGTGTTTTTTCGCGGTTTCACTTCCATTTTTTCTTTCCATGTTTAACTAAAGATTTTTTTGCACATTTGAGGTGTATCGTATATTGCAATGGTTAAGACGGTTCATTTGCACATGTTTAAGACGTCCCTATGTTGATCTGTTAAAGTCCAAAAAATCACAAATGTTTAAATATTAACTGAAGTCGACGTCTAAAAAGCAGTTGGAGCGCGAATGTTTCAACTCTCACATTTTTCCTATATTCGCAACGAAAACTTTCAAGATTTTTGTTTCAGTTTAATTCACCAATTTTGAATTTTTTAGATGATTTTTTCAAAATTTTTCAGAAAATCTAAGATTTAAAAAATTTCTCAAAATTTAAATTCCCAACCCTGTAATCTGGCGATGTCGAGGTTTTCTCAGGGATTGCAAAGCTTGCCTCCAAAGATGACTGCTCAAGTGCTTTTGGTTTCCGAGTTATGACGTTTTTTTATGATTTCAAAAATTTTCAACGAACTTAGATATAATAAAACTTGACAAAAGTTGAAATTCACAACTCTAGTCTCGGGTACTGTCAGGATACTCTCAGGCGTTGCAAATTTTGCTTCCAAAGATGACTGATCATTTCTTTTTACTTTCCGAGATAAAACGTTTTGATAATTTTAGCAGAAAACTTAGATATAAAAGTTTTCTAAAAGATTGAAATGACCAACCCTGCAGTCAGGTGCTGTTGAGGGATACTCAGACATTGCAAATATTGCCTCAAAAGGTGACTGCTTAAATGAAATGGTTTTGGTTTCCGAGATATGACGTCTTTCAATTATTTTGAAAGTTTTTGAAATACTCAATATTACAGTGGGGGCTCAATACTATAGTGGGGTGCTCTCAAAGTACTATCAGGATGTTTATCTGGACTTAAAATGTGGCTGCTCAACGCATTTTATTTTTCTAGATATGATGTTTTTGTCTTTTTTGAAAACTTTCAAAAGTGTTAAATAAAATTTAAAATTGTCGACCGTTTGGTGGGGTGATGTCAGCTTATTACCAGCGGATGCAGATGTGGTCTTTCATCCTAATATCATTTGTGAAATTTTTAAACTTTTCAGTTTGGCTTTTTTGTGATGTTTGAAAAACTTTTCATTACGCTTGCAATAAGTAGGCGTTATCAAACTGAAATATCTATATATTTTTTCTAGTTAACTGGTTTAACAGAATCACTTGAATCATTTGTTTGCTCGCTTTTTAATGAAGGTGGGTCTAATAGTGTGGTGGTAAGGAGCGTGTTAATGTCGCGAATGATCAATCGTTCGAATCCGAGTTTTTCTAATTCGATGAACGTAGTTCAGACCCTTATATAGGTTGCGATGATTTGTTTTTTCCCAGGAAAAAGTTTTAAAATTTGTGCAGGATCAAGTTTACTTTTTCGCGAGTTGACTTTTGATTTCTTTTTAAGTTCATTTCTTTTGGTAAAAGGAAGGCAAACTCCACTATCGCATGTAAAATTCACGAAAAACGTGATCGACTTCTAATTTTGAAAATGAAATTTAATTATCAGATTTCCCAGCGGAATAAAAACTTTACCCAATGATCCAGTTTTATCAAATTAGGTTAGCTTCACAAAAAAAGTGCTTATCATATATTGTTTTTGAATTTCAAGGAGTTTTAGGAAGAAAAACATTGCGTGAGTGGTAAGATTTTTCAACACAATGAACGCAAAATTTCAGACTTTATATTTTCTGAAAATCCGCCAAAACTATCGTAAAAGGCCGTCGGATTTTTTAAGAGTCGATGATTTTAGTTAAGACTCGTATGTAGGTCTTTGTGATTTTTTAAGTGTTTTTCTTTAGAAAAGTCTTAAAATTGTAATAAATACAGATGTTCTTTCAGACGTATTAACGTATATATGAATGCCCTTAGTATATATGCACTTTTTGAATTCAATTAAAATTCATCTGCTTAAAGTGAGATATATTGCACTCAGCTTATACGAAAGTGTAAAAGTCACGAAAAACGTGATCGACTTCTAGTTTCAAAAGTGGTATTTAATTTTCAGACTTCCCAGTGTAATATAAATTCAACTCTTTTCTCAAAATGAGTTAGTTTTATTTAAAAAGTGTCAATAATGAATTCGCCTTGAAGTTCAATGAGGGTAGAAATTCGAAAGATGGTGTTTTTCAAAAAAGAGTCAGTTTTTTTTCTGTTTACTTTGACTCTTTGTCTCGACTGTCTGTTAGCTATTTTCAGGGCTTTCTCCAATACGAGCGCTTCGTGTGAAATTCAGTTGGTTCTTTGCTAGAAACTAATTACTAGTTTTAAATTATTTACACTTGTGAGTCTTGTAACCGGGAACTAGACCTTTTTCCCGTAGAACAACTTTTCTTACAAATATTTCTTGCTTTTCTATCTTGTTCTATGATTGAACCTTAATAACTTACAGGATCGTTCCCACCTGTCCTACAGGTAGATTGGATGACTTTGCACCCTTAGGTCTAGGGTTCGAGTCACGACCGGACCTCGTTTTTCAGTATGTATGAAATTGGAATTGTTTTCTGGTAAAAATTGAATGGTCGGACTTTTGTTTCTTGCTCAAGCTTTGTCGGCTAAGTTGCCACATCATGGGTTTTTCTTACGCTTTAAGCAGTTTTTAAGAGTAATGGACGTAGTGAAGATTCTTTTCTTATATAGGTCTTGGTGGTTTGTTGGTTTATAATTTTGTTTTCAGGAAAAAGTCTTTAAAATTGATCAAGTTTTATTTTGAGTTTTTGCGGTTTGGCTAGTGATTTTTTTTTAAGTTCGGTGCATTTCCTTTGTTAAAAGGAAGGAAAACTTCACTATCGAACAGCAAAAGTTTAAAGATCACGAAAAACGTGATGGACTTCTAGTTTCGAAAGTGGAATTTGATTATCAGATTTCCCAGCGAAATCTTTACCTATTGATCCAGTTTTCTCAAATCGAGTTGATTTTTTGAGATGTGTCAATCAAAAATTGTTTTTAAAATTCAAATGACTATATGGTCATTTATTTGTTGGGTTAAATACGTGAAAAAAAATTGTCAATTATAAATTTTTATAGAAATTCGAAGAGGTTTAGGGCCATTAATTTTTTTCGTTAAATCGAAGGTTGAGATGTTTTCAAAAAACAAGTCAGTTTTTTTTGCGTTCATTTTTCTTTTCCAACTGTCAATTGGCAATGTTCATTATAGTTGCAAGTGTTGCTCATTGTGTATTAGGGGACTTGAAACTTTTTTTTACAAAATCAGTTTTTTTTTCGGCTCAACTGGTGTCTGCTCAAAAATTTTCGGCTTTGTTTTCCGCTTCACCAGTTTTGTTCCATTGCTAATTGAAAATTGAAGTTTTTTGCGTGGCATGTTTGCTTAGATTGAAATTTTATCGAGACATAGGAAAATTTTGGACCTCAGTTTTTTTTTCAACTTTTTTTGTTTTCGTACTTCTATGGTTTTTAATGTTTGGTTGTATCGCAAGTGATGCGAAGCTTCGCCTCGGCTCTGAGTTAAACTTACAGTATATTATGAAAAAGAAGTTTGATATTTTAAAAGTAATTACGCTGGATTATGAATCCCATTTATAAATTTGATAATTTTGCAATTGAAATTGTTTCAATTTTTTTTAAATATGGAATGTGCAGTTGCATGCTGTCGGCCATATTAGGGTTTTGAGTTAAAAACACGAAACCCAATAGTTTCGGAAATTTTACCATTTTAGTTTTAAAAACCATCAAGTTGAAATTATTTTGATCGTTCAAATTTTGAAATCAAAATCGTTGTTGGATTCCCCCGTCTATTGATGTGGTTGCATTCATTTCGTTCTTTTTTTATTTTTCTTATAAACAACTTAAGCGTTCACTAATCTTTTTGAAGCACTGGAGGTGCGTTACACGCTAGTATACTTTAAATATATTCCTAGTGTACTTAGAATATATTCTCTTAAATAAATACTTTTAAGAATTCCCTGGATCTATTTTTTCTGCAGGAGTGTACCTCTCATTACGTACAATCTCTTCGGACGTGCAACTGGTCGACGTGATTGGGACTGGCAGATATGGCCAGGTGTATCTTGGCTACTTCTGTGGCAGCAAAGTGGCTGTGAAGAAACTTCCGGTTAGAGAGGAGAGTTCGTGGGCGAACGAGAGGGCTATCTACTCACACTTGCGTCATCATGCCATACTACAATTCGTCGCATCCGACCGAGTTGGTTAGTCATAACACTTTCAATATAAAAGTTCGAATCGGGGCTAGGAAACCAAGAGAAATTCAGTACGAGGCAAAATCAGACGTTTGAGTTTTCATGAAAAAACTTGGAAATTAGATAACAACATAGGGAGGGAAGGTTAGCTCCACTGAGCTGAGGTTCGGCACGAGTTTGAGACGCATCCCGCGAGTCACCAACTCGATTGATATTTTTGTGCTCAATTGCCGCGATCCTTATTACTTAACGTGTTCGATTGCCTTTTTAAAATAAAATTTTACTTTCTGTGGATCAAATCTTGACAGCTTTTTTAAATGACTGTAGCATTCCGCACCTTTTTTCTTAACTAATACTTTAATTGTATTTCAATTTTGTAGCCAATCAGCTGGCGACTGAGCTGTGGCTGGTGGTGGACTATCACCAGAATGGATCCCTGCTCGACTTCCTCTCATCGTCGACCGCTTGTGGATCCAAGGCAGGAGCGTTTCCATCTGAGTTGGCTGCATTACAGTGCATGTCAAGCATCGCAGCTGGCCTCGCCTATCTCCATCAGGACATCAGAGGCACCCCACCCGACTGTAAGTAATCTTATTTTGGGCTCACATTGATTGACACTGAATTTATGAAAGCTGAAAGCCATCAGAAAATGCTTCTATGCGAAAAATGACTTATGCTACTATCAGTTTTTAAGATATGTGAGTTTTTCTGGTTGTCCTTAAAAAGTGAAATATTTATTTTAAATCGGTTAAAATGTTTTCATTTTTTACAACCAAATTTTCCTCCAGCTGATTTTGAGTCAGCCATTTGGGACAAAAACTGTTGAAAATAGGCCGGAGAGTTTGTAATTCGTTTGAAGCAATTACTTAAGTATTGTTGTTCCGACCTCGTCTCTGATAGTGGCAAATAACAACTATGTTATAGGTATCTTTCGCGGGCTAAATCTCCCTAGATGAAATCCCAGGGACTATTATTCCCCGGGACTAAATTCTCAGGGTAACTCCCACCATTTGTTTTAATACCCTCATCATTATTATGAGGCAAAATTACACAATTAATTACCAAGGTTTAACTAGAAACATAAGATAACGATAACACAAATAGAACTTGATTTATGAAACTTTTACAGCGATAGCTTTTGAATATTCGATTGTACGAATGTCTTTGTAGATCCTGGACTTTCTTCTCGCAGCCTTCCGGTTTTCATTTCCGGCAAGTGTACTCGAAATAATTTTTCAATTCGTATGGGATCTGATAGCTCTGTCTGAAAGTATGGCACTCTTGCTCCACATTCAATGACGGTTAAAAAAGCCAGCGTAATCACGAGGCGTATAGTCAGGATGAAGTCTTTGTCATCTCAATTATGAACGGCATAACCAAAAACAAAATTTGCCTTGGTTTCGGGAAGTCTGCCCCCATAGAGCTCATTAATGCCACTTCCAAGTCAATCATAACATAAAGTGGAGCTCTCAAGTCGGATGTCTTGTCGTTTGGGTGGAAAAGGTGCATGTATGCAGGGAATGTTTTGCCGTCAACAAAACAATGCATTCTGCAGGCGTGGCTAATTTTCCGCTGAGCTCTCAAAGTTTTCATCGATGCGCCAGCCTCTTTAGCTGTCAAGGAAACGACTTTTTCTTCGTGGCAAAAACGAGGTGCCGTTTTCCATCTACTGAAACTACTGAAACAGAAAATCGTCTTCATTAGTGCCTGCATATACTCAACTGGCAGTTCGAATGGCGGGTTCTTCTGATTCTCTTTACTGCTGGAGACTACAAGAATCTTCAAGGAATTGCCGGCGTCGCTTGTAGTAAGGCTTCTGAAAGCACTGCGTGGAGTCATTTTTATGTGCATTTCTTGTGATGTTCCATTAATTTTATAGATTTCCATTAGAGCGTAATCGGATCCGTGCGTAAATTGATGTGTTGATGATTTTATAAATGATCCTTTTGATGTCCATAGACTGCCCCCTCGTTGCTGCTTTGATTTTCGAAGTTCGCATTATCAATTAATTGAGTTGGTTAGGTCTCGTTTCTTTCAGAAGGAATAATTATTTACTCAGGCTTTCTGTCCCCCTTTGTCACTCAAGACAAATTGAACCTTTTTGTTTTGCATAGTAGAACCCAGGTAATTAGTTTGCACCCCAAGTAAATGTTTCATTGAGAAAAAGGTGAAAAAATTAGTCATCATAAACTGGCTGTACATATGTAGAGTTAATCATTCTGCTGTGAATGTTACTTGTGGTAATCTGCAATCAATTGATCGAAAATTGGAGACAAGTTAAAATCAATATTTAAATAGCTCTACAATCTTGCGCAGAGACAGTTCAGCCACAGACAATTCAGCCGATTTAAAATACAGACAATTCAGCCAAAAAAACTCAGACAATTCAGCCAAAGACAATTCGGCCGATTTAGATTAAAGAGTCAAGATAAAAGGGAACAATAAAACTTTTCTAATTTGATTAGAGTCAGAAGGCTTTCAACAGTTTACCAAAGAAATGTAAAACATCAAATAACAAATTTCGAAGATTAAAACAAACTTGCTATGCATAAAGTTTTACGAAATATGTACATTGAAGGTACACAGTTTTAAATACTTCTGTATATGGTCTCGATTGTAGTTTTTTGCGTTTTAAACGAGTTTATCATTTGCTATTGAATACTTGGGCTTCTGTTTTCTGATAATATCACCGGACATCAGTCTGTCCACATTAATTTCGGCGTTTTTTTGCTCATCTTTGAATCGTGTGATCAACTTGGGGAGGGCTGGATGCTTTGTCGATACGAACTTATTGAAGCTGCCATTCCGTGCCTCCAACGCATTGTTCGTACGAGGTTCTCCGCTGAGCACCCGATTGAAAACGTTCCGATCGGCAATGTCAAACTTTGGTTTGACGCGTCTATTTCCTCGACAAGCACCAATATAGGTGTCTTCGAAGAAGTCTGATAGACTCTGGAATTCCTCTGAGGGATCCTCTTTTCGGAGCGCCTCAAAAGCGAAAATAACGTCGTCAAAGGGAACGAATGCCAAGCAAATCATTTTTTTGACATTCAGTCGAAACTCATCATCGTCCATGTACTTGCGCGAAAAACCAAGTTTTTGTACATTGCGCCATACTGCTTGGCCCAGGTGGAAGAAACAGAATTGAATTTCTGTATCAGGCTGCATTTTTTTTATGGCGTTGCGAACAGCGGCTTCAAAGTCAATGACTACTTTTTTTCCAAATTGCTCTAAGCAGCCAAAAAGTTTTTCGTAAGTGTCTTGCGTCTTATTGGGCAGCAGAGCATACACCAAGGGTATAACTGCGTTTTCAATTACACCATGAATAGTATAAACTTGGTAAAAGACGTCTGGTGCCACTGAAAACGTTCCATCGCAATGACAGATTTCCGACTGAGAAAGCAAATCAAGCGCTGGTAGTGTTGCAAAAACTAAAACTCGACTGTCCGACTTACCAGAATCAAATACAGGAACGTATCACCACTGTGTGTGAGTTTGTGAGGTTCAGGAATTTCGTCGACGCTCTCAAGGTTTTTTGGTTTTGGCATTGTTTCCAAAGCCTGCTGCCTGATTCGGTTTTTACTTCGAAGGGATGTTGAGTAACTCGGTATTGTGGGCGCTGCATAAAGAGGCAGGTCAATTTGGGCGTTGAAAACAATCTTTCGGGGAGCGTTACCGGTGTTTGCGGCTTTTTCTCGATTTTCATTAGCAAATTTCTTGGCTTGAATTTTTGAGGGGCTCGTTAAATGAGCGTGCTCGGTTTTTAAGGTAAATTCTTGCTGTTCGTCCAAATAACCCACTGCTCTACAATTTCCAAATGTACATTGCCATTTAATGAGACCGTTCTTAAGTTGGTTTTTTTTCACGGTATCTATAACCGTCGAGACAAAGATGTTTTTTTCCGCGTTCAGATATTACGAATTCCATTTTACGTCAACTTTTACTAAAAGTGAATGAATGAGAATGATTCGGATACTAATCAACCAGTTGTTCAAGCTACTTACTAATGAAAATTAATCAATGTTAATTGTGTCAATGGACCATTTAACTGCAAAAAGTAGGCGCTAAACGCGGTACTGGTTTCTGGTTGGTCAATATTTTAATCGCAATTAGTTTATCTTTTAAAAAAGTTTAAGTATCAAATTAGTTTCAACCAACTACCCAAATTACCTGATAGGCGGTTGCACCCTCCCCCGCCTAAGGCATGATAAGAATATCAGCGTAACTGTGTGGCCAGTACGTGGTAGGGGTGGTCAGCCCTTTAACTGATATCCTTTTTGACCGCCTGTAAATTCTCAATTTCGGGTCTGCTTTCGTGTAAATTGGTTAACTTTTAAGTATTGCGCAGTTTTTTGTAGAGTTCAATTTTTGCTTAATTATTATTCCAAAATTGGAAACATAATGAGTTGTATAAAGTTTTATTATGCTTAGGCATTTTTGGTTCTGTTAATTTTAATTGTTTTATGTGCATTTGAAAGGAATTACTTAGAAGTCGTCTAATGAAAGCTTTGATGTTTTGCCGCAAGTGAAAAGTTTTTGCGCGCACGTTTTAAAACTTTAAAACTGTCTGAATAGTCTTTGGCCGAATTGTCTCACTCATTTTGACTGAATTGTCTGAATTTGAAATTGGCTGAATTGTCTGTGGCCGAATTGTCTGAACGCGCTACAATCTACATGCCGTGGTCCTAGAAGTCTCAAATTTTGTATACAGGGCTAAATATATTTGTATGCGATTATGTGTTTCAGTTTGGATGAGTCGTAAAAACTTTTAAGTCTTGAGAGTTTTTATGTAACAGTTTTGTTTTCGACTCAACAGATTTCGACCCAAAATGGCTGCCGCTCGGTGAATGATTTCCGATTGTTTTAAGGGTTGTTTATGAAATTCATCCGATACTATCATGAAGTATTTGTAGCTGTTGTTAATTCAACTTTTTCAACTTAATTTTTCAGGAATTTTTTTTCGACTTCTGTCTTTTTTTTCTGGTGAGTATATTGTAGCGCAGGGTGTAGCGCAGTTCGAAATTAGTCAAGCTAGTTCAATACCGGCTGTTGTGTTCTGCCACAGGTTTTCATCAAAATGAGTTTTAGTTTAAAACACACATTTGAAAATTTCGGGTGCTGCTTTTTTAGCGTTTTGTCAATTTCCTTTAGGAGTCGGTGGCTTTGTGTATAGCAAGTGGTGCCACGCACAGATTTGCCTGATTTTGTGTCATTAATTCTTTATTTTTCTTTATTTCAATATCATCTTGATTTGACGCAAAAAATAATATTTTAGACAAGCCCGCAATCGCCCATTGTGATTTAAAGAGCCGAAATATCCTCGTCAAAGAAGATCTCACTTGCTGCATCGCTGATTTCGGACTGGCAGTCACCCCAGATAGCTTCGCTCCAAATGCACCCGGCATCGAGGCACGCAAGCGACGCTACATCATAGGAACACGCAGATACACGTCTCCGGATCTACTGCACCTGGAAATGAGCAGCTGTGATTGCTTGGGCTGCAATCCGGCAAGAGAGGATGCATCCTCGCAACATCATGAGGAGTTTTGTTTGAGAGATGAAAGGGGAAATGGGAACAAAAATGTAGTCTCTTTCGAGCAGTGTAGACAGGCAGATGTGTACAGTGTGGCTCTAGTGTTCTGGGAGATATGCAGAAGGGTGAAGCCATGGGGTGAGCTGTATTCTTAAGAGCCGATGAACGTAGTTCAGACTCTAATATAGGTCGTGATGATTTTTTTTCGTTTATTTTTCAGGAAAAGTCTTAAAATTTGTCAGGCTCAAAGAAACTTTTTCGCAACTTGCCTATGGTTTCTTTTTCAGTTCATTTCATTTCCTTTGAGAAAAGGAAGGCAATCAAGCAGCGAAATTGTAAAGGTCACGAAAAACGTAATCGTCATCTATTTTCGAAAGTGGATTTTGATTTGCAGGTTTACAGCGGAATGAAAATTTTATATATTGATCCACTTTTCTCAAATTGGGTTAACTTTATCAAAAAGTGTCAAGCATAAATTGTTCTAGAAATCCAAAGAGCTTTAAGGCCTTCTATTTTTTTCTTTGCTAAGATTTCTTCGAAATATAAGTTCGTAATTTTTTCTGTTTACTGACGTTTATTGCCTCTTTTCCAACTGTCTGTTGGCTGTGTTCTGTTCTTAAGAGGGAATTAATCTCTCCTAACGCGCAGTACGAAAAAAATGCGTCGATCTTAATTTGAAAAGTTATGTTCAGCTATTACTTCAACTAAGTTCATTTCAAAAAAAAGAGTTCAAACTTAGAAACAGAAAAGATTTTAGTTACCGGATTATTATTTCGTTCTTTACACTAGCCAGCTTGCGAGTGTAGTGTATTAGTGCGATCCTTTTTTTAAACCCATTTTTGAAAATAAAAGTGTTCTTTAAAAGTGTTCGCTTATTTGGTGGCGTTTTTGCTATAATCACGATTTGTAGCATTGGAATTTTCATAACATCTGTTCGTTCTCTGCTTTATTTGTGGCTAAGTTTTGTGATTTTTTCAGCGTCCGTGGCTGAGCGGTTAGTACGTGATACTCATAAGCTTTAGGTCGCCGATCGAATCCGAGATGTAGCCAAATTTTCACTAATTCGAGGCTTATTTCTACTTTTTTTTTGCTCTTTATTGAGCTGCTTTTTGTGCTCTCGATAGTGTTTGCGAAATACAGCTTCGCCTTTGTGTTTACATCGACATGTTTTAGGCTCATTATTACAATAACGTCTTGTTAACTCATATTTTTCTTCTTTTAATTGTTAATGAACTAAATGATTGATAGCGTGCTAGCAATTGAGAAGTTTTTCATTACTTGCACTTCCGTGTTGAAAAATTCAAATTGGTGCGAAAAACGTGAATGATGTATTTTAATTTCTAGAACTCAAGTTGACTTAAGGTTCCTATATTTATTCAAAAGGTTAATAAATTGTTTTTCAGTCTCCTTGTTCATTGCTACTTGAAAATGGAGAAGAATTTTGTATGTGTTGGTTTTTCCTCGCAAAATCAGGTACCACAAATAATCTGCGGTTTGGTTTGAGTGATGATATCAAGTTAAAGCCCTTTCAATCGTGATTCAAATGACATTTTAAAGACTTCAAAATAGTTTGACAGTGTCGAGAAAAAAACAGTTTCAACTTATAGATTTTTAGTGAAAATACTCGTTATGTGAAGTTTTAACTATTATTATGCTTGTAGGCAAAGAAAACTTAATTTTAGTGAAAAGGAAACTAGTTTTGGAAGTGTCATTTATTGTTTCCTTATGATAAAGGCTATAAAAGATAAGGAAAAATTATTAATTTTTTGAAGACGATTTTAATGTCGATTATATCTAATTCATTAATTTTCTACGTCGCGCTTAAAAAACGACACCAAGTTTAAGAAAAAAAAACAATTTTGTAGTTTATATGAATGTGGTCGGAATATTTTGTTCTACTTTAACTGCACCTATCTGTTTCGACCATTTGAAAAATGTGGAGTAACTTTGTATTCGGGTGTTTTAATTTTCTTTTATTTCGTTTTCTACGCAAAATTAAGTACCACATATAATCATCGGAATAGGTCGAGTAGGAATATAATTAAAGCCCTCTCAATCTTGATTCGAATGACATATAGAATTTTCCAAAAATTTTTTAGTGTTGAGAAAAACAGGTTTGAATTTTTTGATTTCTCGTCTAATTTCGAGCAAGTACAGTGAACAAGCATTCTTGTTTATGCTTAATTTAGTGCGTTTATAATAGCTTATTTATGCTTAATTTTAGTATTACTCGAGTATAATTTGTTTTTGGAGTTTGAATAACGCCCTTTTGAGACTCAAAATTTTCAAAACTCACATTTCTGCAAAAAAAAACTAACTGTTTTCATCATTTTTTATGATTTTTTGTTTTTATCATGTCATTTTTCCTCAAAAATTGTTGTCCAGTTTGCCGTTTTACTATAGCTGTCGAATATGCCTAAGTTGTAGTTTTTGACCACGCAGAAGAAATGACACTTATTTGAATGAAAGTAAGCGGCTATCCTTGTTTAATTTTGAAAACGTTTTGACAGTGATTCAATATTTACAGCTTTGTTGTTGGACAAGTTTGGATTACTTGAAATAAGGGTTTTTTGAATTGCACGTCTTGGCCTAAAATCATTCTGTAGAGCCAAAATTTTTTCTTATGTGCGAGGATTTTTCAATGCTTGAAGCTTTCAATTTCTAGCATTGAGTGAAATTGGTTGTAAACCTCCGTGATTGTAGTCTTACGGAATTTTCCAAGGTTTATTAGGTGCAGCTACCGAAGTTAGAATTAAAAATGATATTATACAAAATAGTTTGTAGTTAATGCTTTCAAAGTCGGGCTTCAAAAACAGTCGAATTAGCTAAATTGTTATAACTCATAATAAGATTACCAGTGATAAGAAATATTGTGCCTTTCATCTTGATTTAGCTGAAGGTTTATGACTTTCGAGCCTATGATTATATTTAAATTTTTACAACAGTAGCATTTGTTTGACCTAAAAACCTGCTTCTGAAATACGTTAGATAATTAAGCAACAAAATTGTATTAGCCCATTAAAACAAACTTTCATGCTTAGGATTGGAAACTGCAGAGCTCCCTTTTTTCGAACATTTTCCGAATGGAGAACCATCTGTGAAGGAAATACACGAGGTCGTATACGAAAAACTAATTCGACCGAAGTTCAAAGAGTCCTGCCCGAGTCACATGTCATCAAATCCGAACGAAAACGAGCAGCTGGAGACTGGGAGTGGGGATATTTTCCTGAAAGTCCAACAGATAGTGGACGATTGCTGGATTGGTAATGCCTCGGCTAGGATCCCATCCTTACTTGTGAAGAAAAAATTGGACAAACTTTGTGAAAAGCTGGTTTTGATGCGCAAACAATCCGAACGTGGGTATCCAGATATGCGCGAAAAGCTGATGGGGCAACGTTTTGTGACTGACAACCAGAAGACTGGTTTGCAAAAATGTCCCGATCGAGATTTGAACTCAAACTTTGAGATTGCAGCTGATGTTCAGTTGTACAAGGATCGTTTCGGAGGAGCGGAGTTGAAAGAATCATGTGCGTGAAATGAAAACTGGTCCCCTCTGACTATCGGCATTGATGCCGTGCACTGCTAAATTTTCAAGTTTTACTGAACGTAATAAGGACATTTTTCTAGGAAAAGGTGTTTTTGAGTGCTTGAAAACCAGCCGGTAACAGTTCAGTAACGCTTTTCCAACTGTCTGTTGGCTATATTCTATATATCGACATGATAATGAGAAAAACTTTATGTCAGGGTTTTTATTAACCTTGATGCTGTGCATCGTTCTGCAGTTGTTGGAATAACAAAACTGTAAATACAACATGAAAACTGAGTTGTTGCCAGACTTGAAAAAGATCTGGTTTGACCCTGTGAATGTTTAGTTTATTAGATAGAATACCTCTTTCTAGTTCTGTATTTATATTGCTGCGTTACAACTTTTTAGTTTGATTTATTGTTGGTAGTTAATCATATTTACCCAAAGCTTCGCTTTTTCTGTTCCCACGTTTGTAAACTTTTTTTAGTTTCGATTGAATTCTAGTTTAATCTGTCAGTTTTCCTCAGTACGAACAGCATTTACGAAATGTACTTGAAAAGTTCCAAATTCACTTCGTTCAGAGTCTTTTTGGAGTTATGACGGATAATTTTGTTTGCTCTCTATTTTCAGCTCTAATCGAAACGCTTTGAGGAAAATTGGTAATTGGTGATTTTTGGCCCTCGCACTCAAAGAAATTACGCGAAAGGAGTTTGAAAAATTTATTGTTCAGTGGGTCAAAAATTACTGGTATGCAGTAGTACCAACGGAAAGACCCACGTGTGGTCTAGCAGCAGAATCCTCACAAGAGTTTAACATTCAGTACAAATATTTTTAATTGTTTTTTAGTTGTTTCGATGTCTTGACAACTATAACAGTCCAAGCAACGCAATTGGCTCCTGATTTTGGGTTTTTTTTTGCGAAACTAATATAAAACGTATTTGAATGCTACTTTTACTATCTCGCCATCTCTAAGTTTTTTCAATGTATTTTTTTTGCATGGTTAAGCAATAGTCCATCATGCTATGTCTAATTGTCAATGAACGTGGTTAAGACACTTATTTAGGTCGTGGTGATTTTTTAAAGGTGGTTTCGTTCACGCTCATCTAATTTTGGCTTGACTTTTGAAAAGCAGTTCTATTCCTGCCTTTAAAGGAAGGCAAACTCCACTAAAGAACAGCAAACGTGTACTCTTTTTTACCAGCCCTGGGCTCTTTTCACGATGAACGTAGTTTATACTCTTACATAGATCGTGATGATTTCTTTCTTTCATTTTTTTCAGTCTTGAAAATTCTTCAGGCTCAAACTATTTTTTCGCGGTTTGACTTTTGATTTCTTTTCAAGTTTAGTTCATTTCTTTTGATAAAAGTAAGGCAAAGTCCACAGTTGAACAGCAAAAGTGTAAAAACCACGACAAATGTGATTGTCTTCTAGTTTCGAAAGAGGTTGAATTTAATTCTCAGCAAAAGACAAATTTTTCGTATTGATGCAGTTTTCTCAAATTGGGTCATTTTTATCTAAGCGCCAGTCATAACTTGTTCAAGAAATTCAAAGACCTTCAAGGGCATTCATTTTTTTGAAATTTGATTTTTTTTATTTACTTGCGTTCGTTGATTCTTTTCTAACTGTCTGTTGGCTATGTTTTATTTTTTTTTCTATTATCTGCGTTTTCTATATGGGTCTTATTCACATGTTCGAGTGCTTTTCATCTCAATACAACTCACTAAACCTGATTAAGGCTGCGAATCGAGTTTCAGTTCACCAGATTCCCAAGCCTTTTAAATTTTGAGATGAGATATTGATGTTTTTTAATTAAAGAAATGTCTATCTACCCATTGTCTGTCTATGTCTGTCTATCTATTATTTATTCAAATGGAGGGCTGATTTTGAAATATCATGATGTTAAAGTGCTTTTTTCTTTTCGTGCAACTTCCTTGTCCTAAAGCTTTGTATAGGCTGCGAATCGAGATACAGCTTACTGAAAAAAAAAGATGCTTTTAAGGAAAAAATTGTCAATCAATCTATTATTTTAAATGAGGATTTCACTCACCAGCGGATTTAGGGGGGACGCCCCCCTCCCCCTCCTCAGGTATTCGACCCCCTGCCGACCCAAAGGGTACCCCCCTTTGTACTATTTTGATATCCCTTTTTGATGACGGACCCTAAAATTTTTCTAAAAGCGCCTTTGGCGCCAATATATACTAATTTAAAGGGGGGAGCGCGCGCCGAAAAAACGCGATTTTTTTGGTCAAAAACAATTTTAGAAAATTTAAACATGAAACAGTCAATTTTTTTCGAAATTAGAAAATTGTTTTTAAGTCAATTTTTGTCTTCTAGTTTGTTTATTATTACTGGACAAAACCTTCGATGTTCAAAACATTTTTTTCTATCGCAAATGGTGCGAATTTTTTATATATCATTCAAAAGAATGTTTTGGTTTTTATTTAAAAAAATTAAACCAAAACGATTCTTTCTATTATACCACGATAAGTTTTAAGTAATATGAATAAGTGGAATCGGTATTGAACCTTTGAAGTAGTTTTCTTCCGACATTTTTTGTTGAAAATAGTTCTAAATTTGGTTCAAAAGCGAATCGAAATCTCCGAAATACTGATTTTTTTTATCACTAACAAGGCATTCACGAAATGAAATCGAAGGTTAAAAAGATTAATCGGGTCGTATGCAACTAACAACACAGAATTTTCGACCTCATTCATCCTTAAAAACGAAGTCGAAATTAGTATTTAGGTCTTCTTAAGAAAACCTTCGGTTTTTTTCAAGATGTTAAATCGGCCCATTATAGTATGGCTTCAAAGTAGTTCAACGGTTTATATGTTTTCAAGTAAAATTGTATAGTCCGCTAATTTTATGTCTAAAAAGTTAAACTTTCCGATCAGTTTTTCAGATGTAAAAACAGTATTTAGAAGTTGTAAAACGTTTTTAAAATCGACTAAAAACTGAAGCGGCTTTCATATGGTAACACAATCATTGCTTTCGATTGTTCTCTGAGGGAAATGATTTTGCGTCAATAAACCACCCAAGCCATTTAAGACTAGTCGCCAACAAAACGATAGTGAACGCGGAAAAGCTTTGTATAGGCTGCGAATCGAGATACAGCTTACTGAAAAAAAAAAAGATGCTTTTAAGGAAAAAATTGTCAATCAATCTATTATTTTAAATGAGGATTTCACTCACCAGCGGATTTAGGGGGGACGCCCCCCTCCCCCTCCTCAGGTATTCGACCCCCTGCCGACCCAAAGGGTACCCCCCTTTGTACTATTTTGATATCCCTTTTTGATGACGGACCCTAAAATTTTTCTAAAAGCGCCTTTGGCGCCAATATATACTAATTTAAAGGGGGGAGCGCGCGCCGAAAAAACGCGATTTTTTTGGTCAAAAACAATTTTAGAAAATTTAAACATGAAACAGTCAATTTTTTTCGAAATTAGAAAATTGTTTTTAAGTCAATTTTTGTCTTCTAGTTTGTTTATTATTACTGGACAAAACCTTCGATGTTCAAAACATTTTTTTCTATCGCAAATGGTGCGAATTTTTTATATATCATTCAAAAGAATGTTTTGGTTTTTATTTAAAAAAATTAAACCAAAACGATTCTTTCTATTATACCACGATAAGTTTAGTGTAATATGAATAAGTGGAATCGGTATTGAACCTTTGAAGTAGTTTTCTTCCGACATTTTTTGTTGAAAATAGTTCTAAATTTGGTTCAAAAGCGAATCGAAATCTCCGAAATACTGATTTTTTTTATCACTAACAAGGCATTCACGAAATGAAATCGAAGGTTAAAAAGATTAATCGGGTCGTATGCAACTAACAACACAGAATTTTCGACCTCATTCATCCTTAAAAACGAAGTCGAAATTAGTATTTAGGTCTTCTTAAGAAAACCTTCGGTTTTTTTCAAGATGTTAAATCGGCCCATTATAGTATGGCTTCAAAGTAGTTCAACGGTTTATATGTTTTCAAGTAAAATTGTATAGTCCGCTAATTTTATGTCTAAAAAGTTAAACTTTCCGATCAGTTTTTCAGATGTAAAAACAGTATTTAGAAGTTGTAAAACGTTTTTAAAATCGACTAAAAACTGAAGCGGCTTTCATATGGTAACACAATCAATGCTTTCGATTGTTCTCTGAGGGAAATGATTTTGCGTCAATAAACCACCCAAGCCATTTAAGACTAGTCGCCAACAAAACGATAGTGAACGCGGAAAAATTTCCATACGAATCAATTTTACCAAAAAAGAATTCAGAAACTTGGCACAACTTTGAAATTGATAGCAAGCGATAAACATCAGAATTTTTTGATTTCTTTAGATATTACACGCTTAAGTTAGGAAATCATGGCTGGCGTGGGGATAAAAATTGCGAACCGACAAGCAGACTCCTGGAGTCATTTTGCTCCGTCCTTAATCAATCGTGAACATGGATTTATGACGTATAAGGCTTAAATGAAACCCAGCTTATTGCTAGTTCGAAGTCTTTGACTACCTTAACTCTGCTTACGCGGGTTTTCATGAAGAAAAACAAAAACCCGCGCTAAAATGATACATAAGAACCTTGGTTCAAGTTGAACATTCTCCTCCCTAAACGGGTTGATTGAAAACTGGTGACATCCGAAATGGACAATTTTCCACTTTTTGTTTTCAGATTTGACGGTTCGAGTAGGTTGTATATTTTTTATTACTTTTACATAAAAATGTTGAGAAAGTTAATGATTTTCTTTTCGTATTTGTTGCTGGCGTAAAAGTTCAAGTGGAGCTTTGATTTTCAGTTTCTTAGCAACTTTACGACTTCTACAGTATATAATTAATCTTTATTGACCTAGTGTTCTTGGCATTTTGGAAGATATAGAAACTGAGAAAACAAATATTCTGCCATGAAGTTTAGTTGCATGCTTGTAATCAGTTTATCCAAATAATTTATTCTACGAGATTACTTTTCTGATACTGGGGAAGAAATTGGGTCACCGACCGATTAGTACTAACAGTCCCTGCAGCGACATCAATCATACGCCGCTTTATATTTAAGTCACGTGGGTTTAGGCTTTTAGGACAAAGCAGTTAATTGCCTTGATAATACATGAGTGATGCAAATGCTTTGAATTCAAAGATGATGCTCTCCGAAATCACGAAAATGACTGTATAAAAAAAGTTATCTGCGCCGCTGGCGAAGTAAGTTTCGGTCTTTTGGTTATCCCCCGCTCCTCCTTCTTCTAAATGATGAAATATGAAATTGAAAATCGAAAGCATTGATTGTGTTACCATATGAAAGCCGCTACAGTTATAAAACTTAATTAGTTTAATTATGTAATAACTACTTTAACTTAATTTTTTCATCATGCAGGAGGGGGAGGGGGGGGGGTATAACCAAAAAAACGTAAGTTATTGAATGCAACGAATAAATTTAACTATTGGGGTGTTTACGCATTGTCATATTGAACAATTGCTTGTGTTTCTATACTTTGGTGAAGTGACAATTGTATAGTAACGAATCTTCTCT